CTATTAAGTACTTTACACTTATGGTGCAAAGGAACAAAAGTATAATTGTAATATTGTGATATTTTATAATATTTTTACTGTATAAGATTTGTAAATATGATAGATTTACATCTATAAATAACATTCTAAAAGTAATAATTCTTAATCTTTTAATCAGTTGTATTTAATAAATAAAATACTACGTTTGATTACAAGGTATTGAAACATTTTATTTTATTCAATGTAACCTTATTTATACATACTAACTTAACCTCTATGTCAATTATAACGAATTAGTTAACAGAGACACGAACCGTAGACGAGATACAGAATAAACTTGCCACCTTGCGAAACATTTTGTCCAACGGTATCTGAAATACCGACCGTGTAAAAACTCAGAGATTTCGTTATGCCCTCTACGATATAAAGTGGTGAGTTTATGAACGATATACAATCCAAACATCGAAGATGGTAAAGTCGACAGATGTAAAAGATCCTTCTTTTCAATAATTCACAAAGATTCTCAAAGAATACTTTATCCTTCTCTCGCGTATCATAGTTTCTATATTTCCTAACAATAATACTTCGTTTCAACCTATGCCTAACATATAATTCACCATTAAGTACTGTGTCAAATCTGATGTTAAGCATCGATACGTATCAGACTAAACTACAATCTTTTACTATGGCAGCCAATCTGCTCGTATTATTTGCTATATAAATATAATTACGTGTCAAATTATTTTCTATATAATTATAACCACGTGGAGGTTGCTGCGAATGGAGGCCCGCCCTATCCACACGGTCCCATCCACCCTCCTTTTACGCGCCTACTATTACTTTTCTACTAATTCATGCAACACAACACCTCTCTACTGATTGTACATTTGCAGTACGTTCAAATTTTCGACCGCTATGCAAACGAACAATAGCAGGAGATTGAAAGAAATCGAACTCGAATAAAAATCGTCGGAAAAGAAAGGAAAAAAATACAAAAAAAAAGACATTAAATGTATCCTATTAATTTTAACTTAAAGTACTTTAAGTTTAGCTTAAACTTATCTCACTTACAGTATAACTTCACTAGCACTTCACTTAAACTTGGAATTAACTTAAACCTGATTTAAACTAGGACTGATGAAAGCCTTAATTCTATACGAGATATTAATTTATACATGTATCGTTACTCTGTATTTTCATCAACTACACAAGAATATGTGAAGTAGGAATCTGACCCGTGAAATATTCCAAACACGAAACAAGAAAATACAAACAAACACGTCAACTTGAGGGTACTGACTGCACACCCAGCTATCTCGGAAAGAAATCAAGCGTTTCTGTTCGAAATTGTTTACAGAAAACTAACGACAGGAAAGCAATTACAATGTTTACAAACTGAGAGCTACAGCCTTAAATACCATGTAACTCGAGCACTGAATTGTCATTAGAAACTTGACTACTTAGATGTTAAAGTCTTAAATATTATTATTAAATTAAGAATCGCCTACCTGTCTAAGAATCTAACTTAAATTAAGAATCGCCTACCTGTCTAAGAATCTAACTTAAATTAAGAATCGCCTACCTGTCTAATGATTTAACTTAAATTAAGAATCGCCTACCTGTCTAATGATTTAACTTAAATTAAGAATCGCCTACCTGTCTAATGATTTAACTTAAATTAAGAATCGCCTACCTGTCTAATGATTTAACTTAAATTAAGAATCGCCTACCTGTCTAATGATTTAACTTAAATTAAGAATCGCCTACCTGTCTAATGATTTAACTTAAATTAAGAATCGCCTACCTGTCTAATGATTTAACTTAAATTAAGGATCGCCTATTTAAGTAGGAATTTAATTGAATGTTGAAAATGTCCTGCCTCGCTAAAGATTGAACTTGGTTTAAAATTCGCCTATTTAATTGGGAATTTAATTGAATGTTGAAGATGTCCTGCCTCGCTAAAGATTTAACTTCGTTTAAAATTCGCCTATTTAATTGGGAATTTAACTTGATGTGGAAAATGACCTACCTCGCTAAAAATTTAACTTAACTTAAAAACTGCCTGTTTAATCAAGAATTTAACTTAATGTGGAAAGTAACGTGGCTAATTAAAATTCCACGTCCGATTGGAAAACAACCTCCCTAATTAGAAATCTATGTTGCAACACCCTGCCTATTCTAAAAATCTAAAGGGATATAAAGGAGAACGAAGGGAGATATCGGTATAAGATGAATTGCTCGTATGCTTCTCTGTCACCTGCAACAAACTCAAATTCAAACAAATTTAGTAGTTAGATTTTACAAGTTACAACATGGGCATCGTTTACTTCTCCTCTTCCAATAATTTCCTCAGTTTTCGGTAAAGCGAATCTGTAACAAACTCGTTTTTTCTTGGATTAATAAAAGCAAAAATGGAAGTTTAACAGCTGAAAAAAAAAAGATATTACGCACATATACGTATAAAATATTAATAATTATTATCATTGGGGAATGGAGTACTGTTTCCATAAGGACACAGCTTACATCCGAAAGCCTCAGTAATAATAATTAAAAATGAAGGTTTAACAGCTGAAAAAAAAAAAGACACTGTGCATACATCGTATGTATATTTTTACGTATTCATTGAAATGAAAGTGATATTAAAAAAAATTGAAAGGTACTTTACACTGTTAGCAATTACTTGGTACACATTGATAACAAATCAAAGGAAGAATCTTTGCTAATTGAATAGGAATAAACGGTAATTGTAAAATATAAACTGGAAAATTTTCTATACCGAATACCAAGATGAAAAAAAAGAGAGATTAAAATTGTGCACGATTCATTTAGAAGTTATTTTCACGGAAGAAAACGTGGAAAGATGTTCCAATTTACTCTTCATTAGGAATTTAAAACCGAAATAACCGCACAATTTACCGCAATTTTATCTATATTATCATTTTTTCAATTAGCAACGAGTATGCGACGTCGTACCGATGATTCAAACATTTTACTATGAATATTACGAGCAACTACTTTCTACGTAACAATATTTCTTTGCAAGCTTTTTACGTCACACACGGAATATGAGAAACCTAATCGCGAGTGTACTTTAATTCGTGCAAAGCTATCTCGAAAATTTATAAAAATTCACTGTACTCTACTGTTGCATCAATCGGTATTGCAAATTTGCAACTATTACCGACAGAGGAATCTTACGTAGCGAGAAAAGTAAACTAACTCTAATAACGATTAATTCTTATTTTCTTTTTTTAAGAATTGACCGAGCTTCTACTTGTACTTTCATTCATTATTAATTCTTCCTCTGATATATTCCGATTCAATTCGAGATTCTCAACATCTCAAAGTCATTATTACTTTAAAAATAAATCATCGTCGATATCACTTAATATCGTAACTATTAGCAAATTTCTGTTATAACAATTCAACGAATACAATTCAACAGTATTTTATGACAAACACTCGGTATATTTCCCAATCCACTCGTTCTAAACCCGAGCAAAAACCGTGAGTGGAGTAATTCATTCTCATACGCAACACTGATCTATTAAATGTATGAAATAAAAAAAGAGTCTCAGAATCAATCGCGGTGAGTGCTTCAATTTACTTGCAATCTGAATTTACGAAAACAAAATGATAAAAAAAGTCACCGTTAAACGCGAGAGCAGCCACGTTAGGGCGCTTTGGGCAATACGCAACACTAATCATCTATGCACTCTGTAATTTATAATACGCAACGCTAATAACGGGGGATCCATGGCAGTCGTAATCAG